TAAAAATAAAAATTCATGAAAAAAAATGTATGCTAAGTCTAGTAGAATGTTTGTTTCTTAGGAAGAAAGGAGTTCAGGAAGTCTGAGTAAGGAGATGAAAGCAATTTCAAAATATGAGAGGGTGTTAATACTTGAAATTTCTGGGTAATAGATCAGTGGGTATGTTATATTGTTTCCTACTTGCTGTACTTATGATGTTTTCACAATAAAAATACAGTTCAGTGTCATCCTTTTCAACATTCTCCTCTCCCTTTGACCCACCCCTTTCCTTACTTTAGTAACATTTTATTATTCAGATTTATCCCTAATCTAGACTGACTTTTTCCCAGATACTCCACAATGGAAGATTAACTGCTCAAATAGCTATCTTTGATTTGGGATAATCATTCTTTTTTTCTCCTGCTCTTGTCATCCTGAGTAATTATATTCATTTCAAAAGAAACCTTCAGTAGAATACTAAAGAAAAACTATGCCTATAAGTATGAGATTTTCACTAACTTAGAGAACATTTTTTTTAATTATAGGAAAAGATAGTTTTTCTGCCATAGATAATTCTCAAGTGATTTAATTCTCATGATATCAAATTTTTATAGCAAGTTAAAATGTGAATTTAAGGCCTTCATGAGACTTGTTGGTACCAAATTTATTGATACTACAATAGTATTTGAAGTTAATACTTTCCAATTAGCTTTTGTGTATTACAATAACTTCCTTATTTGTGATTCTACTGGAGTCTTGAGCTTTGATGGTGGAGACTCTGTCTTTCTCATCAATGCCTATATTACACAGACATCCAGCAAGTGCTTTAAACACATTATTTAAGAAAATGTCTGCTTTTTGATGTGCTTGGAAATACTGGATGCAACAGTTTAACCATATGTTTATAGGACAACTTGAGAAATTTTGGTATGTTGAAGTTGTGTTCTAGAAAGACATAGTGAAGTTGGAAAGAGTAACTCTGCCATTGGCTTATGCACATGAAATGAGTGTGTGGTCATTTGCAGTTGATACCTTTGTCTTTACAAAAGTCTAAGCTTAAGTGTTGGAATAATTTCTTAAGACCACTCTGAACAGCCTTGTGAGATAGTATATTTAACTATAAGTACGTGTTTCATTGCCAAATCCAACACAGTCACTGGTCAGCTATCTAGACATAGCTTCCTTCATTTTGTACCTCTGACAGTGCCTATAGGTGGGAAGAATTCAAGGAAGGCTCAGAGAAGGCTACTGGCCACATGGAAAACTTGTGCTTAACAGTCAGAAGTGTGGGCTATGATTATAAATCAGAAGAAAACCTGTTTTCTTTTTGTTTTGAAACTTGCATTTTTTAACATGTGATACAAGTTCTAAACCTAAGTGAGATTCTTTTGAAGCAGAAAAGACTAGATAAGACATAGAAATACAAAGGTACAGCCAATGTCATTTTCTTTAAGGTGGTGCTGGGTATTGAACCTCCAGGGCCTAGAACATGCTGAGTAGTACTCCCAAACTGAGCTACATACCCAGCTATTGGCTTTTTCAGACACGATTTCACAATGTAGCCCAAGATCCTAATTCATCCTTTGAAATGCTGGGATTTCAAGCACGTATCACTATGTCCATCAAAGCAATTGGTCTCCTTCCTTCCTTCCTCCCTCCCTCCCTCCCTCCCTCCTTTCCTTCCTTTCCTTTTTCTCCTCTCTCTTTTCCTTTCCCTCCCTCATACCCTTCCTCCCTATCTCCCATCCCTCCCTGTCCTTCCTCCTTCACCTCTTCCCTACTCCCCCACTCACAGTGATGCTGGGTTTAGAACTCAGATCCTTATGCTTGCTACACTCCACACCCTTCTGTGTAGTTATTTTGCAGATAGGATTCTGTGTTTTGGCCTAGGTCCAGCCTTGTGCTATGGTCCTTCCTACACTTCTGAGCATAAGGTCTATGAGCACCTGACTAAGAAGGTCAATTTTATAGCACCACTATGTTAAAGAAAAACTAGGTATGTAGATTAGAGATGTGATATCAATATGTCAAGTAATAGAAATTATTTATCTTTAGTATTAGGGTTATGATTTTATTTCTTTCTACTACATTTTTCAGATTCTTTTTATTGTGAAATATTCCCTCTGTAACAAAACTGTGTTGTCCAATGAAAAGGCTTACAAATTCACATTGCTGATGGGCAATTTTCGTATGTTTGCCAATTGTCTATTTTGTATCTTAGAGCTGCCTTGACTTATCATAGCTTATAACCTATTGATTGTCGATGTTGGCTGACAGATCAATATTGCTCAGTGCTCTCTACTTTCACCATTGTGCATTCAGCATTAATGGATGCCAGGCACAGCTAGATGTTCTGGGTTTGCAAACAGCTCAAGCTCAGAGTCAAACAGGCCAAGACCTGCTGAGTGGCCAAGCACAACACATGTTTCCTCAAGGCCTCACTTTCCTCTTCTGTGAAATGGGGCTGCAAGCATAAACCTGCAGGGCTTTGTGGTAAGGACAATATATTATGTAATGCATGGATATGGTGCCTAAATTATTCTTGTCAGGAAGCGGGTCTTTCCCTTCTCACCTTTCCGGTTGTTCCTTGCTTACCACATTGACATATCAGTTATTAATATGTCTTTCATGGAAATGGCTTTTTCAATATTCACGTTCAAGTAAGTAGTGGTAAGTGGTTTTTATTTAGAGATAGTTTCACATGCAATCAAGGTTGGGATGCTGACCCAAGTGGTTCAGCAAAGGCCAGCTAATGAGACTGATGAGGTGGGTAAGTGGGAAAGAATCTTCCGGGAGGGGTAAAAATAGTCAGACTTGCTCTTCTAGGATTCAGAATGAAAAGCAGGTGGTATATGATCATTTGGCCATAATTCAGAGCTCAGCTGCAGAGAGGGGAGCTGCAATGCAGTATATGGATAGACAAATGTCTTGGATATCCCACAAGTCTCACAAAAAAGAAACTGAGGCTAGGGTTCTGTTGGTTCTTGCTGGCTCTGCGGGTCTAGCTCTTATTCTTAAAAATAGACACTCTGCAAAATAATGTTCAATGGTGAAAATGAAACAAAACACAATACAACTGGTTTACTGCAATGCTAAGCTTAGGACCAAAGTTAGAAGGAAAGAGAAAACAAAAACCTGCTTATATAATCTGATGACCTATATAAATGTATCATCAGGAAGCAAATATTCAGTGCTTTGATTTCTAAAGACTGTGGAAATGTTACAAAAGCTTTGCTTTTCATTTCAAACAGTAACAAAAAAGTTTACAATCATCAGAAAAAAAAATCTATAAGATTCCTGGGTGAAATCCAGGGATAAGAGGACCCATTAAATTATTGCTAAAGATCTAAGAATCCATACTCCAAATGATCACTAAGCCTTACAAGCTTAATAGTTAACCTCTCACTTACTGATGCATTTTTTTCAAATATATGCCAGTGTCATTGCTATTATTTAAATGTGAATTAATTTTAAATGTTGTTCAATTATAGCAGCTATTCAACATTATTGGTTTCTCATTCGACCACTATCCTTGGGAGCTTAAAAAAGTAGTTGACATTAAAAGAAGTCCTAGAAATATAATCAGCGCTAGAAAGAATAAGAACACCTGCCATGAACTGTCAACCCAAGGAAACCTCAAGAGGTTTGAATTGAACCTCAATAGAATCATAGCAGTTCAGCAGTCCAAGAGAATCACAGACCCTGCCAGCTGGGTGAGAGAATTCAGGGTGAGTCACGGTTTTTTGTCGTTGCTGTTCTGATGAGAACCTATTAGAACAATGCAAAAGGAGTGTCGTTTTCTGGTTTAGCTTCTGGGAGGTATTGTTATAAGTCAGAAGAAGAATAGATACTTGGCAAGGATTCTCTCTCTGAAGAATTGTACCACCATCCGACTGCCCATGAACACAGCCTTCCTCTTTCTCCTTCCTTCTCACCACAAATACAGTCATGATTTGCTAGCATTTCTAAAGACTGTGGAAATGTTACAAAAGCTTTGCTTTTCATTTCATACAGTAACAAAAAAGTTTACAATCATCAGAAAAAAAAATCTATAAGATTCCTGGGTGAAATCCAGGGATAAGAGGACCCATTAAATTATTGCTAAAGATCTAAGAATCCATACTCCAAATGATCACTAAGCCTTAGAAGCTTAATAGTTAACCTCTCACTTACTGATGCATTTTTTTCAAATATATGCCAGTGTCATTGCTATTATTTAAATGTGAATTAATTTTAAATGTTGTTCAATTATAGCAGCTATTCAACATTATTGGTTTCTCATTCGACCACTATCCTTGGGAGCTTAAAAAAGTAGTTGACATTAAAAGAAGTCCTAGAAATATAATCCTAGAAATATAATCATTTCCTCTTAGATACCTCTCCATTTTGTACACGTCTTGAAATCTGTGTTAAACCACTTCAGACCAAGTTAGCTTCATCTTTCACTATTCAGCTATACCTGCCTAAAAGTGATCTGATTCCATCTAGTTTTATCTTATATATTTTTTAAAATTTGAAATATCTTTTATTATCTTGATTGCTATTGTGTGTGGAATATTTTTTCCACATTTTCATTCCTGAATTCTGTGTTTTCTCACAGTGCTGTGAGTTGAACCCAGAGCTTTGTACTTCCAGTTTTGTTTTTTTTTTTGGGTCCGGTCGTGGGGCCTGAACTCTGGGCCTGGGCACTGTCCCTCAGCTCTTCAGCTCAAGGCTAGCGCTCTACCACTTGAGCCATAGTGCCACTTCTGGCTTTTTTCTTTTTGCTTATGTGGTGCTGAGGAATTGAACCCAGGGCCTCAGGCATGCAAGGCAAGCGCTCTACCACTGAGCCACCTTCCCAACCCCGAGCTTTGTACTTCCAAGACAAATGCTATGCCAGTGAACTACCTCCCTAGCCCTCTAAATATTTTTTGATAAACTGACAGGAAAGATGATTTGCTTTTGTAATTTATTCTTAATCTAGCCTTCTTAGGGGGAAAATGTGTTAATTTTGTATTTATTTGGAATCTATGAGTTTAAAAAATATGGAATGCTTCTACAAATTTTGCCAGTTGTCTTTGCTCAGGGGCTATGTTAATCTCCTTTGTATTGTTCCAATTTTGGTATATGTGCTGTGAAGCAAGAACTTTGTATGTGTATATAATCAACCAAAAAGCGTATCGTTTACTTTCTTTTCTGATGTTTACTTTGCTTGTTTTGTTTCCTTTTCAAATTGTCTAGCACAAATGAAAAAACATAGAAGGCCTTAATCCTTTCTGTGGGAAGACTGGGTATCAAAGACAAATCTGTATCTATTTTTGAGGAAAACTAGCTCATGAATAGATTTTATCATATAACACACTTTAAAAAGAGAATGAAATTTGATTACAGCATTCAGTGATAGGTAGAACTGGAAGTATATCAGATATTTTAATTTAATTCTACTCATTTTACATATGATAAATCTAAGCAAAAGGAAGTCAAATTGGCAAAGGTAAAAAGATAGACACAAAGCTCATAGAGTGCGGAAACTTCATGACAGTTGGGATAATGTTCTTAGTAAGAGATGTAGTTATCTTAGACATTAATTTAGAATATCATTCGTCTGTGCTCATTTTTCTTCTCTTGTTTTTAGTTGGGAGACTGGGACTCAAACTCAGTACTTGACACTTTGGCTTATTAACTAGTGCTCTACTAATTGAGGCATGCCTCCAACCCCTCTGTGCTGATTTTTATATTTTAAACAACTGGGCAATCTAAATTAAAACATTTATTATAATTATTAAATTTTGCCGCTACTAGGATGTCTGAAAAATTTCAGTCCTCCAACAATCCTGTTTCATCTTACTCAAGAACAAAAACACACAAAAAAGAACAATAACAAAAGCGTTTTAGCAAGGATTTTGCTAAAATATGACTAAATTTTGGAGACTGGTATTTATGCCAATTTTTCAGTGTGATTTGAAGAAGGATTTTTAATATACAAGAAGGCATCCTTTGTCTCCTTTTCCTCCATCTTGCTGGCTAGACAGTAGACGTTCATGATAGCTATGACATGTGCTCCACAGGGTTCAGCTACCTGCTAAGGTGGCACAGCAGAGAAACAGAGGATGTGGGTTCCTAGGAACTTTATGAGCAGTCTCATAAGTCTGAGTTTCCCTTCCTTTCAATTTATTTATTTGTGTGAGAAATAAATTTCTCTCTTACTTAAAACAATTCTCATTTGGGCTCTTCTACCATTTAAAAAGGAGATCTAACTGATATAAAAAAGCAAATGATACAATGTAACAGCAAAAGTTGAAATTCTCTGCTAGCTTTTATCCCAGGGGAAAAAACCCACAATGTCTCAAGCATTTCACAAAATGGCCATAGTGATTATGTCAGTAGTTATAATAAAGGATGGGTATTGACAGTGACAGGAGGGCAGTTAACACATGGCCTATGTGGCTATGTGCATGTATGTTACATATTGTTTAAAAGCCTCTACTTCTTCATCTTCATAATAAGGATAATAGCAATCTTTAGCATGAAGTTGTAAGCATTAGACAAAAGTACAGCATAAATTAGCCTTATGTTGTGTCATTATCTTACCATTAAAATCATTATTACTACTACTTCTAAAGGCAAGACATCAGATGACACTTGTATACCAATATTTATATAAATACCACAACAGTAGTGCCACTTTGATATTATTATTTGAATTTTACAGATAAAATGATTCACAAATCCCTAAATATTTTGGTGAGAGAGCTGGGTTAGAACCAAGGCCTGGCTTGCAGAATCCATATTTCTTTTTGTGGGCCCATGCTCATCTTACTCATGAGCAGGGTTCTTTACTGCTTTAGAACATTACATCAGATATATATATATTTGACAATATTTTCCTGCCACTATTGGTTCTTGGTCCTTTGGTTGGTAACAGCATCCCTACTCCCATTGTCTATTTACTAGCCGTTTCCTGATTGGGCACCTCTAGAAACAGAGAATCACCTCACCTCCAAACCTTGCACTAGCGGCAGTTGAGTTCCTTGTGCCCAGAATGTTTGGGCAGCACCCATGTTTCATTCTTTCCTAGCTCTCTGTGCTTCTCTCACAGACTGTGAAAGCACATGGAATTTTCTGAGGGCTCAGGTATATGTAATGTACATAATGCCCCATACATCGACGCCACAGGAAAGCAATGTGGATTTGGGGAAAGCACCTGTGTAGAAAGCACCTAAGACAGGTGTTTTCCAGTTTCTTATCTGGAAGCCACTCCAAGGAATTTTGCTTAAGAAAGGGAGGATCCCTGAGAGATTTACTAACATCAAAAGCTCTGTTGTCCTCTGTTATAGAGGTTGGAAGTGAGGAATAAATTGGGTGATGCTAAATCTTAGGAGGAAGATCCATTATCCTCTTCTCAAAGGAAATGTTTCCACAGTCCTCTTTGTGAGGCCCTGTGACAGTAAACAAGTCTTAGTGGCAATCCCAGGAGGCTGGGTTGGGCACTTAGGCCTCAGTGGATTTCCTTGGAATCTCTTACTTTCAACATCTGCAAATAGGCATCCTGTTGTATTTGCTAACAACATCATGTATTTTCATCTATGACAATGTAACCTATTGTAACCTGATACCCTTTTGTGATGGTTTAATATCTGTTCCTCCAATTAAACTCTGATTTTGATGAAGGATAATATGAGGCAAATGATAAACAATAAATATTTGTTAGACAAATAAATGAATGGGTAAAGCAAAGAGCAAGTTCCTCATATAAAAGCCACAGAGCTAGCTCCTCATACAGCATAACAACGTTTATTGCAGCACTATTCATCATAGTCAAGGTATGGAATCATTCTAGATGCCCCACAATGGACAAAGGGATCAAGAAAATGTGGTATATGTACAAAATGAAATTTTACTCATTCATTACAAAGAATAATATTGTACCATTTGTAAAGAAATAGAAAAACCTGGAAAAAATTATGTTAAGTGAAACAAGTCAGGCCCAGAGAGACAGAGATTGCATATTTTCCCTTATATGTGGAAGTTACATTTAGTTTCCAAACTTAGAAGTAAATATGTTGGGTTATGTGCAAGTGTATACAGATGTACTAACTGAAATACGATAGATTAAAGGGAGAACTCAGATAGTGTAATTCTTTAGAAAGGCAAATACAGGGCTGGGAAGGTGGCTCAGTGGTAGAGCGCTTGCCTTGCATGCATGAGGCCCTGGGTTCAATTCCTCAGCACCACATAAGCAGAAAAAGCCGGAAGTGGGGCTGACGCTCAAGTGGTAGAGTGCTAGCCTTCAGCTGAAGATCTGAGGGACAGCACCCAGGCCCAGAGTTCAGGCCCCACGACCGACCAAAAAAAAAAAAAAAAAGAAAGGCAAAGACAAAGTTCAGCAAAATAAAACACCCAAAGTGGGTACTTGAAAAGGGTGGGGCAGGGTCAAGGAGAAAAGATGGACAAATGAATAAGAGAAGAAAATGCAATCAAAACTCCAGTTCGGGCTGGGAAGGTGGCTCAGTGGTAGAGTGCTTGCCTTGCATGCATGAGGCTCTGGGTTCGATTCCTCAGTACCACATAAGTAGAAAAAGCTGGAAGTGGTACTGTGGCTCAAGTGGTAGAGCGCTAGTCTTGAGCTGAAGAGCTGAGGGACAGTGCCCAGGCCCAGAGCTCAGGCTCCATGATAGACAAAAAAAAAAAAAAAAAACACCCAACCCAAAACAAATAAAAACAACCCCTCTTCCCCCCAAAAACTCCAATGCTTATCCTATAAAATTAAGACTAGTGAAGAAAAGAATAGGTAGGGGAGGGATGGGTGGGAATGTTGAAAGGGGTGACATTGTCAGAGATATACCATACTCATAAACTGCCTTGTTAAATGGCAGCTCTTTTGTGAAACTACTTAAAGGTAATAATAAAAAATAAAAAGTTCTACTTGAAAAAAGAAAGAAATGCAACACAGTGAACAGGAAAATAAAAACAAGGTGAGGTTGCTTGATCTTTGTGAGTATGGCTTTCTCCACATAGAGTAAGGATCATTCAAATTGTATTGTTTGAATTGTTCAGGTGATACGTAAGTATCACTTTTGGTGTAGTCCTTGGTGAAGAGGCCAGTGTGTTAGTGAGTATTTACAGACGTGGTGTACTTCCTATTTCTTCTTAGTTCTCCTTCTTGCTGGATTACTGTGGGGCTATGGGAACACATGAACACCCTAAGGCATCTGTGAGAAGTGTAATACTTCAGGCTACTGAAGTCAGATATAAACATTTTGTCCCTGAAATACCTTCCCCATATGGTCAGAAATTCTGCCTTTCTTCTGTATCTATTTAGGCACTTAGGAACAATTTGGCATCCTAGGACTCATTGAGGGCTTATCTACTGAGTACTTACAATATGTTCGGCACTGGACAGGGGTCAAAGAACACACTGGTGAATTAAACAAGAAATGTTTGATCTTAGCATGTTGTTTGAATGTAAGTCCTGAAAGAAACTAGAGGTTTTATTTTTTCATATATAGCTGTGAATAATCCTATCTTATGTTGTACTTCTCTGTATCCCCAGCTGTCTGCTAGGTATACTGCATGAATCTCATGTAATTTTCACAAGAACTACCCAAGATAGACGTAACAGTGTCTATTGTACAGCCAAGGCAGCAGAAGCCCTGCAGCACACGAGTGGCAAATTGTAATGCTGAAGTGTTTTCATTTTGTCAGTCGTGGGCCTTGAACTCAGTGCCTGGGTGCTGTCTCTGAGCTCTCTTTGATCAAGGCTAGCACTCTACCATTTAGCCTCCTGAATAGCTAGGATTATAGGTGTGACCCACCGGTGCCTGGCTGGTAATGCTGAAGTTTGAATTCGGGTCTGTGTGACACTATCACTTCTTACTGTTGTTGTTCTTCCTTCCTTCCTTCCTTTCCTTCTTTCCTTCCTTTCCTTCCTTCCTTCCTTCCTTCCTTCCTTCCTTCCTTCCTTCCTTCCTTCCTTCCTTCCTTCCTTCCTTCCTTCCTTTCTTCTCCTCCTCTTCCTCCTCGTTCTCATTCTCCTTTTCCTTTTCTTTCTTCTTTCCTTTATATTTTCCTTCTATATGAAGTCTGCTAGTCAAACACTTTTAATGGTCTAATTGATTAATGAAGTGATGAACTGGCAATGTTTTAT